TAACTGAGTGTAGACTTATATGTTGCTTAGTCATGGTTGAATCTTGAAGATCCAAGAAACATTAGATATATTAGAACATGACTTTGATTGCATTTCGACAAGTATCTTCATTGTGTAATCTGATTATTAATAGTCTAAACATTATTTGACAAATTGTGACAGGTAAGAAACATAACATTTTAAAATATTATGACAAAGCAGTTTAGAAATATGTTGCTGCTTGACCTTGCTTTTCTATTATTTTAACTTTTAATATTTTTAAACTGTTATAGTCTCCTGAAGTCAGTTAGATATTATACCTTGATTTAAATTTGTATGTCATTGTTCTCAAGTGCTATCTGTGATTTCTAATAGTAGTTGTCTCTATGCAAGGGGAGGTTATCATTTTGTTGAAAATGCTAAATTGTAATTCTAAGAAGAGGTGCTACCTAGTGACTTTTGCCATAAACTAAAGTGAAGAGTTCTGCAGAAAAGTTAGACTTTGTAAAAGTTTGGATTGTGCATTTCTTTGATTTTTTGGAAAATGAACATCTTAATTTTTGTCTTTGCTGACTTGTATTTACAAAATACAAACACTTTCTTTGGTTTGAGCTATTGTGATACACTCTTTCATCTACCCTAAAGAAAAATCTGTACTGTTTAGATATTTGCTACCAACACTAAGACAAAGCACCTAAAGGCTAGGTGTGTAATTAAGAACTTACTCCAACCTGTTTAGTTTCAATTTATAGAGCTTTACATTTTTTTTTATTATTTTAACAGGAGAAAAATGAAAATGGCTTATCTGATGTCTCACACATACCATAAGCTTGAAAAAAATTCAAAACAAAATGTGAATTTCATTTAGGATTGTATAGGACTTCCATTCACTGTGTGAAAAAATGAACTAAGACAGTGAAGGGACCCCCATCCACCACATCATTTAATGGGTTAGAATAGTCAGGGACCTGTTACACGAGTGCTAAAGAGAAGAGAGCTGATTTTTCTTGGTGTTGGTATCATACCCTTTTCTAGAATTGGGCAGGTCACTTTTTTCACTCACCTGTATAATTTGCTAAATAAATTGGTGTTGTAATTCTGGCATTTAAAAGAATAGTATGTTCTCCCAAACTAGGAGTCTGATGATAGCAATAAAGTGATCCAGTACAGGGTGTTGTTACACCTTCAACAAGGAATCCATTGGGCTGAAAGATAATTTTAATTGAGGAGTATGCATTTTCCTGAAAATTGAGTTGGAAGAAAGATTTTTTGAAAGGATATTGTATCCTAGCCAGACTGTGAATTAAGATTGAAAATGATGAGTATAATACCGCACTAGACTGGGTGACAAGGACAGGTTCTAGTTATAGTTCTTATATTATTTCATCTCTGAGCTCACATTCTTCTAATTAAGGAAAGAGGCTGGATTAGATAAATTTCTGGGCTTTATCCAGATCAAAATCAGTAATCCTGTAAGTGAACTCTGTCTTAAAGTACTAAAGTCAAATTATTATACAATCTAATTCAAATTTAAAAGAAAAAAAAGAGGTATAGATTTTATAAAATGTTTTGGTCTCATTACAATAACTTAATTTTAAAATGCTCTTTATTTTCATGTTAGCTTTATTAAATAAGATGAAAAGTTTCAGACCATTTACAAAATGACTGTCAGTTTTAACAGTGTACATCAATGTAATGTGTAAGGAAGAATACTTGATAGGCTGCTTTATCAATTGTAAATTAAAAGCAGCATGTTTTATGGTATTTGCTGTTAAAAGAAATTCTGCTGACTATAATGTATACTTTAAAATATATTCATGTCTGCGGGAGAACTTTTTTTTTTT